AAGAATTAAATGCAAGATGTAAAGCACTTTGAAGAATGAAGGGTATTCAGTAAGTACTCAATAAAGGGCATAAAACTAAGCCACAGATCATAGAGTAGCAGCCCACCAGCCAGTAGGTGAATGTGTGGCAGCAAGTTTACTGGCCCGTTGGTGGGGGGAGGACTGCTCCATCCTGAACTCACTTCTACTCTTTGTTGTCCTACCAGGGCTGAGTATCCATTACCAATACCCTATTGTCTATCTTAAAGAAGAGAAAGAATTATCTGTACTCATGTTTTTTTCATCAAAATTAGGGATACAAAAAAGATAAGACCAGTGATTCTGATATATATTTTTAAAGGAGGGGAAACAGATACTATTCCTAAGTGTTGATTATGAAAATAACCAAGATAATTCATTTATGTAAACTTCTGGCCATAGAGTTATTTTGAGCCATTGGGGGTGAAGGACAACACAGCTATCTGGATATCAAGAAAAATAAATTAATCCTATATTCTTAGAGAATCTAAGGGATTAGAGGGAACCAAAAATAATCAGAAGCACACTCACTCACTTAAGAAGTCTATTCCTCTCCAATCCGCATATACCATGAGATGAAAGCAGCAAACTGAAATGTTGAAAGGATGAATGTAAAGATCTAAACTTGGGTTTATAAAAAATTCACTTGCATAAGAACAGAATGAAGACACTTGAGTTTGAAAAGTTCCTCAGTAAAAAATAGGAACTTAATCTCAAAATCTTTAAATGTGACTCAGGAGATTTCAGGTACCTGATGGGTTTATGTGTCTGCAAATTCCTTAGTATTTCTATTTTGTGACTATAAAGCGCCACTGATCTGTCCCACAGGAGATCACAGCAGCTTTCCCTTCTTCCTGATCCCACTCAGAACAACTTGGGAAAGTAATGCCTTTTCACTCTCATTGGAGCATCTATTGGGGCAACACCATATCCATAGAGCATATAGTTGGTGGTTTTCTCTGCCTAGCCAGCTGCAGGTGCAGAGAGAGTAACTGTCAGTGCTTAGGTTTCCCATCAGTACCCCCAGGGAAAACTGGACTCTTTTTATTTTTTGTTCCCTGCCTTATTTTGATATTCTTAAACATGTTGTGCATCACTCAGTGAATGTTACTATAGGATCTGACCACAAAGATCCCCAAATATAACATCCTAAATAATGTAAGAGTGAAAGTCATCACTGAGAGCTTTTGCTAAAGGCTTCTTTGTATGCAATCCAACACTGGACCTTGGACAGGAAGGGAAGCATCTTATCCCTAAGATCTAAGGCTGTCTAATTCTGACAGCCTAGCAACAGAAATAAATAAACCTTAAATACATGCTGAGTCAATAAGGACCAAAGTATTTCATATCATGCATAAACTAAAGACAAGAACTTATTTGGGTGGTGGTTCAAATTCAGTTAACATTCTGATCTCTCACCAGGGACGGGACAAGAGATTGTGAGTTCCCCAAGGGCAAGCATGTACTGGGTTGGTAGATGAACATTTAGGGAATGAATGGCAGTGTATTTGGAACTTTCGTCTATATTACCACATTTCATCTCCACTTCATGGATAATAAAAGTGGGGGTCAGAACACATAAAGGGCTTATTGCCCAAAGTCACAATAGTGACAACAGTCCTCTGTCCTCATTCTTAGTTCCCTGGCCATCCTGTCTGTCAGGGCATAGCCTACAGGCCTGGTGAGTGAGGTGGGGCTGCAGTTGTGTTTGGCAGGGGTGGGACAACTGTCTCCACACATCCCCTGGTGGGTGAGGTGAGACTTGGTGAAGAGTTCCAATATAGTTGCTTCAGAGATAATAGCAACAGAGAGACTAACCAACAAGGGTGGTATCCCATGCTCAGGTACAGAGGCAGGGAAGGGGCTACACAAAGAAACTCATTAGAAGGAAGCAGACAGAGAGAAAGTGAAATAGTTCAAGATGCCCTGCAGGGAGAGCACAATGAAGAGGTTTTGAGAAAAGCTAAAGAAGAAAAAAAACAACAACATAGGGCCAAAGCTGCAGATAGAGAATGCATCCCTTAAGAAGGGCAACGAGGGAGCCCTCAGACTTCATCCATCCAAAAGTCATCCTTCCTTTGGCCAGCACAGTTTTTGACTCCTTCTTGAATGAGGTGTCTCTACAGATAACCCCAGTGCCCACCACACTCTATCACTCCAGTCCTGTAGCTTCACTCCTGCATGACGCCTGCCTGCTCACTGAGAGTATCTAAATTCATGACTCTTCCTGAAGTCCTTCCAAAGGTCACAGCCCCAAAAGTGCTTCCTAACCCAAAGGGAACAGGAAGAAGAACCAGCATATATCAGATTCTTCAGGGCCTGCTGCCTGATTTCCTTTGAGCTCACCCTGATTTAATTTATTCCTTTAGTGTATGGACACCACACTGCTTTCATCTGTTTCTCTTAACCTAGCTCATAATTATGCAACATAGTGTCCGCTAGAATAAATCTTCCTTCCATATCTTCACCCCAAATGAGGTGAATGTGAAATGACACAATGATGTGAGTAATCTTTGTGTCTGCATAGGCTTCTTTTTTTTTTTTAATAAAAAATTATTTATAAAAAAATGTTAATTCTAAATTTCAAGAAAAAAAATTCCAGTGAGTACCTGTGTAGCCAAACTGTCCTTTCTCTGAATACTGAATATCTAATATGAACTTAAAATGTTTAGGAGCATTTTGTAATAAAGGAATGTGTGAATAAGTCATGCATTACTTTTGGTCTACTTAAGTTTCAAGTTTGCAAGTTTTCCTGTTCTAAGCAAGCACTATTTTCTTTTTTTTACCAGTCATTTTTTATTGGATGTTAATTCTGAATTAGAATGTGAAAGGATTCAAGGGTGCCAGGCAAAGGTCATGGTCAGGAATGCCGAATGTGCCTCCACACTGGCCCTTGTCGGTGGTACTTGTGTAGCCACTCCCGTTTGAGTTCCTTGTAACGTCGATAGTAGTTGAAAAGTGCATAAGCTGCCAGCACCATAGAAATCCCAGCAACGCCCCCTTTCTTCACACTGACATACTTGTTATAATACCGGTAGTAACCTCTTGGAAATGCTCCAGCAATGCCCTTAGGGGTGAAATCCCTAATCACTATCCAGCTGGGCAGCTCTCCTAGTTTCACACCCATGAGCTTCTTCTCCTTCACTGGTACGACTGACGCCATCCTGGAGTCACAAGCACTATTTTCTTATCTAACATTTATACAGGTAGAGTCACATGAGGAAAATGAGAAAACTTAAGACACCTCTGCAGCTTGAACTGAATCCATAAGAAACCTAATTGCTATAGAGGAACACACTCCTACACTCTAGTTCTATGAATGCTGGTATATATTTTTAACCACTCTTTTACTATTGAGTGACTGAGAATTTATTAGAATTCTGTGCACTGAATCCATTAGCCTGAGGAATAAAATAAGTGGGAAATATGCTCTTAAAGATGGAGCATGTGCTATCTCCGGGTTGGAGCTTCAGAACTCAAGTAGGGCTTAGAGAAAACCTGGAGAGGCTCTCTAGGGCACAACACCAGCCTCCTGAGACTGCAGAAGGCCAAAAAGCTGGAGCACGTCCCCAACTCAGAAAGTGCAAAAGTCACCCTCCAGACCTTCCCTCAGCATCTGGGATATTTCAGACAGGCTATTGGCAATTCCAGGCCAGCTCTTTTTAGAAAAAAAATTAACTTGACAGGCGTCATTTAATTTAATTTAATGAAGAATAACTAAGAACCTATTATATGTTTCAAGATATCAAAAACAATAGCAAAACAGTAAGGTCCAGGTCCTTTCTAATCTCCAGTCAGGGCCAAAGCTCTTCTCTGAGCAGGTGCTCACCAGCAGTCAGAGAAAGATTTTTTCTGCTGTCCTTTGCATCCACTGCCTGCCACAGCCACTAGGATCTAGAAAATGGGCAATGTTCACATAAGAAGTGAACATTTTTGAGTATTAAACGTGCACTTTCATGGGACACACACAGATGCCACACAAGCTTGCTCTGGACGTGGCCATTTCCAGATATGGTGATCATTTCTTGTGATGAGAATCTCAGAGCCAAGAGTATCCACTTTGAAAATGGACAGACATAGGTTCAAATTCCCACCATTCCATGTTCAGTTATAAGGATATAGGCAAATTCTATTTCTCAGTTTCCTCATCTGAACAATGAATGTAGAATCACCCAGCTCCCAGAGTTGTAGGAAGGATCAAATGCAAGTGTGTATACAAGGCCTATCACATATTACGTGTTCAATAAATGGTAAAGGTTATTGTTCTTCTGTGAAGAAAGATGGAAAGAGCATAACATCTGTTGATTACCTATTTGCCATATATTGTGTTTAGAGCTTCTGCACATACATTTCATTTTGTATACATACACAAACAACAGTGAAGTAACTGTTAAGGATCATTTCTTTAAGTTAAAATCTTAACTATCATACAAATATAAAATGAACATGAGTCAAATATTTTATTTAATTTATTAATGAGAAAACTAGTAAGATATTACAATTAATTCAAAAAGAATAAAAAAAACATATGTAGGCTATCACGAATACTGAAGTGAATTTAGAAGTAGATTAAGATTGCTTGGTATCCACACAGCTATCAGTTGCATTCCCCTAGACAAAATTTATTTGAATCTCTATGTTCAAGAATCATTTGCATTACTATATTTTTTTCCATAATTTCAGAGTTGTAAAGTAGCTCAAATATAATAAAAGGGGCAGGCCCCCTGTAGAATCAGATAATCTGTAAGGGTTATTAGACATCCTTTTTATTTTTGTTCATTTCCATTTTTTTACTATATTTTCTGACAGAACCATTATTATTCCCATTTGCAATTGAGGAAACAAAATCATGGTGACTGTGCAATTTCTCTACAGTCACCAAAGGTGTAAATGGCAGGGGCTGGATTCTAACTCATCTTTCATCACTCCAAAATCAGAGTGGCTTTATTTGAAGAACTGGGATTTTTTTTTCTTTTGTCTTTCAGGGGATGAACAATCAATATATCCGTCAGGAAGTCTTCTGCTGTGAAACTTGTCATGAGCTCAAAAGCTTCTGGGAAAATGAAATTAGCAAACAGACTTGTTACAGGGAACTGGAGGAAGATCGTCAGGGAAAGAGCGCCCTGAGAAAGTATATGGATTATTTCTCTACTACTTTTTAAGTTAGATTTCTGTAGAAATATACCAGATGTGAAGATGAGAGACCGAATTACTGTCATTATCACTGTTCTAAGAATACAAATATTCAATATGGTATGGTAACGTCAATGACGCCATGAGAAGAAAGGAAAACAAGACCTGGAAGAAGTTTATTACATTCACAGGTCTTAGAGGAAGGGTCACCACATACCATGCAGGGCCACAGAGGAAGCACCAGGTCTTGCCCAGGTGTCAAAAGACAGAAACATAGTGAACATCTAAGCCAGAACTTTTATTGGAGCTTCTGAACAAAAGGCAAGGCAGAGTAAACAGTTTAGTATTTGATAATTTGAATAATCCCAGAGGGCTTTGGGCTATAGATGTTGTTCCTAGTTGTCTGGTACCTGGCCCTGGGATGATCTAGGGAAGGGGAAATATGGCTTCATGTGTGAGAGTTAGAGGTGTTTGGGGTCCCAGACTCAGGATTGGTTGACATGCTCACAGCAAGCCTTTTAATATCTCTAAGAAAAGGCTAGTCCTTTCCATGACCAGCAAGCTTCTTAAGATGTCAAAACATCATAAAGTATAGCAAATTCAATACATAATTAATTCATCTACTCATTCAGTCTTACCACCACTTATACCAGGGGTTTTCAACCTAACACTATTGATATTTAGGGCCAGATAATTCTTTAGGGGGAGGGGGCTGTCCTGTGCTTTGTAAGATGTTTAGCAGCATCCCTCAAAATGTTGCAGTCCAGTAGGACTCCCCTACCCATTATGACAACAAAAATATCTGCTGACATTACCAAATATCCCCTAGAGGGCAAAGTCACCCCTTATTGAGAACCAGTGACTTATAGATAAGGATGAGCCTTTTTATATATAAATAAAAATGAGGTTCTATTATTTATATCTTGATAAACTGAAAAAATTTTTTCCTCACCTCTCCTCTGTTGCAATCCCCAGCATATGAGGTACACTAAACTCCAAGGTTAGGTCAAAAGATATATGTAAGTATAAAAGATCTCACATCTGGGATGATATATATTAATATTCTTGGAAGAAGGAAAATGTGGTCTTCCTCTCTTTGGCAAGTAAACATGATACTCTTGCAGAAGGAATCTGCTGAAGGGGAGCATATACTTATGTGAGGTCACATGTGTCAACATCACTCTGAATAAAAGAGTCAGCACCTGCCCTCACACGTGCAGAGCTTTGGAACAGACAGATCAACTCACCTTTTCAGAAGCTACCTGGGTTCTCTCTCCCTAAAATGGGAACAGCCCAGCTAGGCTATCTGTTTTGCTAAGGTGCCTACTTACAGTGGAGTGGCAGTTGAGTATTCTGCTAGTCACAAGGCACCATGCCTCCATGTGTCTGATCATGCTGAGCTGAAAACATGTGTAACTCACATGTGTTGAACCAACATTAACTTCTAAAAACCTTTATTAGCTCTGGAGGGGAAATAGCTTCTCTCCATAGCCAAAGAAGAGCTCTGCCACCATTCCAGCTACATTCCTGTTTATCCAGTGAGCAAAATCAGGCATTTCGACATGCAGGAGAGTCACATATTAGGGCATCCAGTCCTGGTGATTCCAGGGGAGTGAGGAAAGTCAGTTGTGTGGTTCCTGCCTTCTTCCGCCCTCCAAGCCTTGGCCCACAAACCCACTGAGAGCCAAATCCCAGCATGAACTCTGTACATCTTCCCTTCCCTGAACTCTCAAGATAGGGAATTAAAAGCATAACTTGTAACAGCATTCTATTTTTATCAAAATATATACACAGCCTATCTGTATATACAAGAAAAAGGTTAAAATAAAATGCGCTAAGATACTAAGAGCAATTATTTTTGACTGGTGGAATGGCAGATTTTATGTGTATAAGCCCTCCTAGTTTTTCCAAAGTTTCTACAAGAATGCTCTGCCATTTTGTAATTAGGCAAAATAAAGGTATTAAAAAAACAACCAATTGCAAATGGTCCATAGAACAAATGCATTTACAAATAATTGAACACTTTTTTAAATTTTAAAATAGATTAACCAAATAATTCTCCAGATTCCCATGGGCCCCAGAAATAACCCCTTCTAAGTTGGGGCAATTTTCTCTCCCTTCTGTAACCAAGATAGTAAATCTTCAAAATGTGCTCATCATGAAATATTTCATCATTGTGTCCCACAAATAAATGTTTAAAGATGTGACCAGAGCCTCTGCATTGAAAATCTTAAGGAGCAGGGGAGTAGAGGCAGCTTCCTGTGGTTCCCCACTCTGTTCTGGAGTCTCACTTGCCAGAACTATTTCCCTTAGCAACTATGAATAAAAAAACCAAAAGCTTTCTTATTTTGGTAAACAGTGAATGAAAACCTAGTGGTTTTGTCATTGTTTTTGCTAGATATCCTAGATTTATTTTCACACCAAAACCAGAATGTTGGAATATTTGTTTAAATCCTGCTGATCTGAGCAAACAGTTTGAAACAGAATAATAGTGTACCTTCCAACATACACTTGCAGACCAGTGGCCTATACCTCCCCATACTCCACTATGCATAAGTACACACTCCCAACATACATACATAATACTCACACTCTTTTCTATTCTGCTCTCCACTTATAAAAGGCAAATTCAAGCCACCGTGCAATACAGAAATGTTCTAAGTGAACTAGAAGACAAAAACCCTAAATTTTTCCACCAACCCCTTTGCTGATAGAACAAAATCAATATTGCTTTATGTTCTTCTCTGCTGGTCTGACCAGCAAGACTTGTGCCAAAGCTGGGTAGAGTGGAAACAGGTGCTTTGCCAAGGACATGCTTGTTAGCACACTCCTGCAGATTCACTGACAGAGGAATTCAGCCCGAGCTGCAGAGCATCTATTTACCCTGGTAACTGAGGTACCTGGCAGAGGCCTTGGAGGTGAGATCATGAAGGAAGGTGAGTGACCCCAGAACTAGAAACCCCTTATTTTCTCTGAGCCAGAAAGAAGCAACACAACAGGAATAGGATTGGTCCATAAAGAAGTTGAAAACTGTTTGCAAATAACTGATGGAGACCATTTGAGAATAATCAAATGCATTGTAGGTATGACGACCAACCTCCTGGTTTTGCGGACAGCCCAGGTATACACCTATCATTTTGTTACAATTACAGATTATAATTTTTCCTTTTACTTTAAAAGTATTTCAGTTTAGATGATAAATTATATGGACATGTAAGTCTAAATGATCAGCCTGTAACTATAACTGAGAAACTGTGCAGTGTTTATATATTTAAAAAAATCGTGGCTTAGTATAAGAAGTATGGTCTTCAAAATACCTCTTCAGAATTAAACAGAATTCACAGCATCAGGTAGACATAAAATCTGGTGGACTTGAGTGGGGAAAGGGGTTTATCAAACCTCACTTCAAGACTACTCACCTCCCTCTGCCTGATTCCTGCTTATCAGTTATGTCAGTCAGGATGCTTTCAGCTGCAGGTAACAAAATATCCAGCTCATAATCTCCTAGCCAGATGAAATCACTATTTCAAACTTGTTATAAAATAAGATTTAGTCTAAAAAGAACACCAGTGAGAAAAAATTTAGATTTTTCATTCAAACTGAGGGTGGGCAATGAGATTGGCAAGCTGACTTGGTCTGATCATTATGCCAAGGTTGTCAGCCTGTGTTGGTTGTTGCAGCTCTGTCCCACAATCAGGCCAGTGAGTTGCAGGTCACAAAGAAACCAGGATCAGGCCCATTTCTCCTTAATTAGGAAAAACTACTATAAAGGCTTGTCTGTTATCCTACTGGAAGAGAAGTGGCAAAATCACTGTCTGACCTTTCATATTCAAACAAAAGTACAGAGATTGTAATCGGATCTGAAATGGGAGATCAAGAACTCAATAAACTATAAACTCTTTGATGACAGGGATTATTTTACTACTCTTCTTTACATATGGTAGTAACCACAGAAGTGTTCTATTCAGAGCTCCTTCAAGATAGCTTGCAATGGGGCACATAGCTGACTGAGAACTCCAGCTGCCACCTTCTGGATCCATCACTGAGCTTGAGCTGAGGCCGAACTTAACCCTGACTGCTCCTAGCCATGACTGAGCATGGCAGAGGAAACTAGTTCTGGGGAGTTCCTGCATGATAGGGCTCCTCTGCTGGGCAACTTGTCCAGGGCCTCCCCATCAACCCAGCCCAAGCTTTTTTAGTACTGTGCTGTGGGGTGGAGCTCTTCCTACCCACGTTTTTTCCCCTCCCTCTCCTTCCACAGGGATCAGGCCAGCATGGAAGTCTGAAGGCTGTCCTGACCGCTTCAGTTCACTCTCCACCTTTATTTTTCATGGGTGATTCCTCTGAGTCTGCTTCTTGGAGGATCCAAATTGACACATAAATTTAGTGCCTCGCACATGATAGAAAAAAATCTAATTTTGTGCCCAATTGCTCTTCATTGGTTCCCAGTAAGGACATCACAATTCTAGTTTAAGAATCTCAGAAAAAAAAATCATGCTTTCTAGTCAAACCCCATACTTATCAGGGAGAATCTGTGTTCCTATATATTAACTACAACTCCTCCACAAATCAGATGAGTCTAGAATAATAAATAGTAAATATTGTTTGGTCTCCATTAGAAAAGTGAGGTCAGGGGCACCTGGGTGGCTCAGTTGGTTAAGCGACTGCTTTCGGCTCAGGTCGTGATTCTGGAGTCCCTGGATCGAGTCCCGCATTGGGCTCCCTGCTCGGCGGGGAGCCTGCTTCTCCCTCTGGCCCTCCCCCCTCTCATGTGCTCTCTCTGTCTCTCATTCTCTCTGTCTGAAATAAATAAATAAAATCTTTAAAAAAAAAAAAAAAAGAAAAGTGAGGTCAGTATTTGTAGGCTTAAGGGAAAATATTATCTTCAAGCTTAAACACCAGTTGTATTGCTCCTCCACTGTATCTCAGTCTGTACACCAATGTTTAAGCATTACCTTTCTCATATTGACCTTCCTTACTACAAAATAAAAAGTCTGT